GGTGAAGTCTCAGATGATCATTAGCATTTTTTAGCATTAAAGTATTTTTTAATTAGGGTATGTACATTATCTTTTTAGGACATAGTGCTATTTCACACTTGATAGACTATAGTATAGTGTAAAGATAACTTTTATATACATGTATGCACTGGGAGACCAAAAAATTCATGGGACTTTCTCTATTGTGATATTTGCTCTATTGCAGTAGAACTGCACAGCCACTATCTCTGAGGTATGCTTGTACACACACTGTGACTTTGGTTCACTGTTCTTTGCTTCTGTCATGCTTGACAGAGTAATGTGTCTGGTATTTTGAAGATTTCCTTTCCATTTTGGACAATTTTGTTCTAAAAAAGTTTTATTCCTAGAAAGTCATTTAGGAGATATCATTGTATCTACAGTCAACTAAGATAAAAGCAGTATTTTTGTTTGTTGTTTCAGGAGACCAGAATATGCCTATGAACTTGGCAGGTGGTAGGTATATGGGCTCATGCTTTTCTGCTAGTGTAACACTGCTTAAAAGCAGTCTTGGTTCATGTCACCCATTTCGAATTACTTCAATATTCTGGCTCTTGTTCTGATCTGATCCTTGAGATTGCTCTGACCTTTCCTGCAAGTTAATCCTTATATTCATCTATGGATGAGAAACCTAAATAAAGAATCAGAGACTTGGTGTGGAAGGTGGCGTCAGATCATTTACTTAAAACCCTATGTGAGTTTTACTCTCTCTGCAACCTTATAGCAAAATAGACCTTCATTATCTCTTGAAAAGATCTGGTGTGGGAATCTCTTACCATGGCTGTAAACACCTCTTTGGGTGTTTGAGAACATTTTTATAAAAGGAGCAAAAACCTATCTCTCCCCTACAGCTTCTATCCATTGGTCTTAGGTTAAGGTGAACAGATTTTAACATTGGTAAAGCAGGTCACCATTGGGGGGGGTCAGGGCCTGACAACAATGCAAACTTTGATAAGCAGTTCTCAATAATCAGTTCTCAACAATTGTTTGATATTGTTAAAGTTTAATATTATAAAATTAACAAAAATAACATGAAACGCATATCCTGGCGAAATAGCCACATGGCAGCCAAAAACTGTATATTCCCTTCCTGTTCCCTGGTGTTCCCTAGCTTGTCGTGCCTTCTTTCCAAAAATCAGGGCTTTTTTAAAACGCCACAGGACACAGGACAAATTGTTAAATATGGGGACTGTCCCACCAAAAGCAGGACATCTGGTCACCTTACTCTGGTGGAGGGGGGGGCTACTTGTTTGTTCCAGACAGTTTGGCTCCTTCTGAGGTAATTGTCCTTGCCTAGAAGCAAGGGAGGGAGCCAATCTCCTTCTGATATCTTGCCCAGGCGGGGAGTAGGGAGTTTACATTAGCCTTTTCATTTCCAAATGAAGTTACATTAACCTCTTCATTCCCAAATGGAGTTAATTAACCTTTTCAGCAGCCAAAAAACATATATTCCCTTCCCATTCCCCTGCTGTTCCCTAGCTTGTCATGTATTCTTTCCAAAAATTGAGACTTTTTAAAAATGCCATGGGACACAGGACAAATTGTTAAAAATCAGGACTGTCCTGCCAAAAGCGGGATGTCTGGTCACCTTACCTTAGGTGCATCTCTTGGACTCCTACCATTGAGCCCCACTGAGCAAATCAATTCTCTTTCCTATGACAGCTCTTCAAACTATAAACAAGGTTCTATCATCTCTACCTATCCCAGTTTTACCTGGCCTTCCCTCTGCTAAACATTTCCAGTTCCTTCTCAGTCACTTTTGGTCTCAATTTTATGCAAAGTGCTTATAGTTAAAGCCCCTCCACACCAGAGCATTGTGCAGCTCCCAAACTAGCCCTGAATACAAACTCTGGAGCCACTGGTGAGGACATATGTATTGTCTAGAACTTTACTAGATTCTTCATGCAATTATTACTAATAAAGGTAAATTTGTTGAATGCTTAACATGTGTCAGTCACATCATATCACTAAATACTCAGTTTTACAGATAAGGAAAAAATGAGGACTTTAACTTTCCCAAAGTTGCTCACACAGAAAGCAGTAGAGAGAAGATCTACTCTAAGCCACCAATTTGAAAGCCCATGTTATTAATTATTAAGTTACACTCCAAGTTGATGCATGGCTTCTGTTGTTCTTTTTATTTTATTATTATTATTTTTTTTTTAGGTGAAATTCCACCTCATGCCCTCCCTTGTCTGCTCTCTCTCCTCTCTCCCCTTCCAGGCTCCTGTTGTTCTTTTTTTTTTTTTTTTTAAATTCTGTTTCCTTTCTAAATTTTATATACTGCCAGTGTCCGCAATAACAAAGTTGATATTTTTTCTTTCTTTTCTTTTCTTTTTTTAGTCAGAGTCTCACTCTGTCACCCAGGCTAGAGTGCAATGGTATCAGCCTAGCACATAGTAACCTCAAACTCTTGGGTTCAAGTGATCCTCCTGCCTCAGCCTTCTGAGTGGTTGGGACTACAGGTGTCTGCTGCAACACCCAGCTGCAAATTTTTAATTTTTAGTAGAGGCAGTCTCACTGTTGCTCAGGTTGGTCTCAAACCCCCGATCTCAAGCAATCCTCCCACTTCAACTACTCTGAGTGCTAGGGTTGTAGGCATGAGCCACTGCATCCAGTCAGATGGTTTCTCTTTCAAAACCTAATTCCAGATTCTACCCAAGTCCAACCACTGTCAGATGGTTAACATCTGTGCTATATCTATACTATCAAACCATTATGGTCCCACAACCTCAGCTGGGCCAGGAAGTATCTTCATCTGAAAGGAGGAGCAAGCTACAGCTCACTTACTTTCTAGTGAAGTGGGCTCTGACCCGTATAGAAAAACATGAGTGATAAGAGAACAGAAAGAAAATGGGTAAATAAGAAGGAAGGTTCAGCAAAAGAAGAAATCAGGGCTCAGGACAAGAGTGTGTGGAGACCACACCTGAAAGGGGAAATAAATTGGACAGACTAAATCTCAGAGAACCCCTATCCCCAAATGCTAAACCACAGAGTGGGCATGCTGGTATGAAATTTTTAAAGGATCAGAGAATGCATAAGTTGCCTTTGATCCCTGGAAGGCCTCAAAGGATACTCCCTTTACTATAGGAATAAGAAATCCGCTAGTGAGGGGAGACTTACATCATTGAAAAGCTCAAGGGTCTTCATAATCAAAGAATGACAAAAGGGAAAGCATGTCTGGATCTCGAGTCTTAATGTCTGTATGGTAATAGAAATAGAAAACAGTAAGGCCAGAGAGATCTAATTATTCTATGCAGCAGCAAAGCTAGAATGGTAGCCCAGGGACTCTGAGTCACTGGGATATGTGGCAATGGCTAATAGACTATGGTGTTAAGAGTACTAGAATAACTAATTGGAAGGGTGATGCCAGCTAAGAAAATGAAAAATCACAATTCTTTACTCTTCTTGCTTATTTCCTGCCCCATGCCTAGAATCAAAAATGTTTCTAAGAATCTTTGGGGTCTTGCAGAGGAAAACAGTCTTCTAGGATTTCAATCTGGATATCTGGATGCTAAGTTTGTGCAACCTCTTTGACTTGGTGGTTGTTCTGTACTTTTTCAGTGAACAGAACTGACCAAAACAAATACGTGTACAATGAGCTCAATGACATTTTTGAGTCAAATTTAGAAAGCTCTGAGGAATATATTATTCTATTACCAATATTTCTGAAAACAGCTTACATTTTTTGAAGATGCCATCTTCAAACTTCCCTTGTTTTTAATAGTTGTGCTGTCTCTACACTAACAAGTCACATAGCCATTGCAGGGTGGTGCCTGTGGCTCAAGGAGTAGGGTGCTGGCCCCATATACCAGAGGTGGCAGGTTCAAACCCAGCCCTGGCCAAAAAAACCAAAAAAACAAAAAAACTGCATATAACCATTGCACCCCAGCTGTTGCACACCAGCCATTGCACATCTTATAACCCCATTGGGTTTGATTTTATATTTAGATTTTTATAGTTGTGCTATATCTATACTATCAACACAGAAAGCCATGACATTTCATATCACCATCCTTTTAACCTCATTTAGTTCTAGTTCTACAAGGAACTATATTTAATGTTCACTATCAGTCTCTATGTCAGTGTGCCTCTAGTTATTTTGATTGCCCAAAGCTTGTCCTCTAGGGGATTTCTTAGGAAGGGCTTGTGAGAGCAACAGTCTCCAGTTCTTACATGTTATTCTAATTTCTACCCCTTTGTATAGGCATAACCGTCCTCTGGGAGGCGGACACAGGGCTGGAGGAAGGAAGCCTCCCATGTGTATGGGGATTGTCTACCAAAGATGCCTGTGACCCCCATGTGGGCCAAGTGGATACAAGCAGGCAGGCACTCACAGGGTGCCAAAGGTTAAATTCATTGCATCAGAGATGGTAGTTACTTCTCTGGTCCTGTCTGTGGAGGGTTGAGTTGTGTGAATGCAGGTGGATCAGACGCAGTGTTTGAGGGCAGGGAACTGAGGGAAGAATGAGGACCTGGGGGACTGGCCTTTCCCCTCAGACATGGACTTCATGCTGATACCTCTCTGTTATACACACAAACTGGGGTTCAATTTCTGCTCATAGACTTGCTATGTGCCCTCATGTTCCTTTCTTCAGCTATAGAATTCGAGATTAAAACATCAGGTTCCCAGAGATGTTTAGGAGACAAACCACATGGAAGCATTTAGTAGCATCTTCAAATAGCCATTTTGCTTTCTTTCCTTCCCACTGACTCCCTGCCTAACTTTACCTCCTTCCTTTTGTCTAAGGTTCCCAATCACACTTATGGCAGAGCTGACCTTATTTTAGCTGGTTTTAGTGATAGTTTCATAGCACAAGCCCTCTTTTCTGATGTTATTATTTCTGGTAGTGAAGGTTTTGAAACAAAGTGTATACTTGGAGCACAGACTCTTCCTCAATAATGTATGGCAGCACGGTGGCCCCAGGGACACACAGGCCTTCTGTACGGACCAGGAAGCCTGGGCTCTGCCCTCCTGGTCCTCAGAGGTGAGGGGAGAAGCCGGCCACCACGATGTTCTCCCCAGTAATGTAGCTGGCATCCGGAGAGCACAGAAAGGACACGAGGCCCGCACACTCCTCAGGCCGCCCCACTCTGCGGGGAAAGAAGAGGTGGGGCTGAGACTGATGGTGCTTTCCCCATGAGCCCTGGGCTCCATGGGACACTGAAAAGTCAAGACCTCTGTGGGGAGACGTGAAGGGTTGCAAGGAAAGAGGTGTGGGCCTTAGAGGACCGTCAGATCCCAGAAAGGGGAATGGGTAACGGACTGAAAGTGATCGCGTACAATCTTTTATCCACCATGAAGTTTCTGAGGTCGTGTTATTCCAGATCCACAGGGACATTGCCTCGCCACTACTTACCTCTGTGCTCCGTAGAGTCTTTTCACATGGTCCCCAAAGTCTGTGTCCTTAATGAGCTAAAGGAAAGGCCAAAGGTTAGTGCTGCTCATACAGATGAAGTCACACGGGTTCTACATGGTACAAGGCATGTCTTTGTGGAAGGGCTGCTGGTGGACACTCTGGGCTGGCCCCTGACAGAGGATGAATTCTGATCCCAATGGTCATGGGCCAGAGCATCAGAGCAGGACTCCACAGGTCCAGGTCTGAGGGTTCAGGTCTCTGTGGAGCATGGCTTGGAAGGAGAAGGCGGCCCAATGCTCAGTTGGGTAGGAGCAGGAGCTGCCCTTGATCCTCACCACTTGGCTGAACTTTGTGTTGATCACTCCTGGTACCAAGCAGTTCACCCGAATGTTCTTTGGTGCCAGCTCCATGGAAAGGGTCTTAGTGAGGCCCAGCAGGGCTGTCTTACTGACGTTATAGGCCCCCAGATTCTGAATAGAGAACGGGAAATAGGTTAATAGACTAACACTGGGGATACGGGAGAATCACTTGGATTTCCTGGGTTCTATCCAGGAAACCCATCCCAATAACACCTCCAGATCTAGTCTGGAAGACAATGCCTGGAAAACATGACAAGAGGCTCCCGCTAAGTGCATTTATGTGCAAAGCAAGACCTGTGGCACAGATTGATTCCTTCTGCACATGAGTTAGCCCAAGAGAAGAATTATCAAATCTTACATATTTATATGGACCCAGTTTTCCAGATGAAATGGGAGTTTCTTCTTACCTAACCTGGAGCCACAGACAGTCGTACTTACACTAACTGGAATATAGGCTGCAACTGAGGACACCAGGACCACTGAACCTTGCCTGGAAGGATAAAGAAGAGGTGGCATGTGAGAGCTGAAGACAGTTATCTTAAGTCTGTAAGGGAGAAGGGTGGGCCCTCTGTGCAAGTGAGCGAGAATAACTTGGGCTTGGTGAAAGTATTCATCCCCATTTTCTTTTAGGCATTCAATTATATTTCTCAAATTATATTGCCAGAGAAGCCATCTGTGTTCAGATCTTGTTTGTGTCGGAAAAATTCTGACTACAGACTACATTTATTTGATAGTTATTGGGGTGGTGAGTCAAATTTTTAAAAATTTGTCCATTTCATTACAATTTCAGTACAAACATAAGTTTGGCATAAAATTTTCTCTTTGGGATTATGATTCTCTTACTGCCTTTTTATTATCTTCAGGATCTCTAGTGAACAGCTTTTGTTTTTATTTCTGATAATGGTTATTTGTGCCTTTCCTCTTTTTTTTTTTTTTTTTGATCAGTTCCACCAGAAATTTGCCAAAAGCCTTAGTGGGTTTTTTTTTGTTTTTTTTTTTTAAATAAATGCTTGGTTTTCTTCATCCTCTGTATTGTATTTTTTTCCCTTTTCCATTGATTTCTGTTCTGTATTATTTTCTTTCTCCTTTCTGTGAGTTTACTTCTTCCCCTCCACACTCCAGTTTTGTTTTTTATTTAATTTTGACAAAATAATACTCTGGTAAGCACTATTATACTCCAGAAAGACATGCTTTTACTTCAATTGTCTAAAAAGGAGGATTGAAATGTGCATTTTAAATGCAGTAGATGAGCTGAGTACATGTGCTGAGGTTTATCTGTCCTACTTCAAGTCCTTGATCCCAAGCCTTTCCTAGAACTAGAATTTTCTTAGAACTATTTCTATAAATAAATTTGTATGAACTCAGTTAACAAAAATGAGAAACTTGATAAAACATGTCATTACTGTCTAATCAGATTTAAATTTTTTAACTTGATTAAAAGTCCTAGTTTGACGATCTTTATATTTTAACTGCAATTACTGATATACTAGGATTAATGCCTAATATCCAATTTTATGCTTTAAAAAAAATTCTTTGCTTGCTTTCCTGGCCTTTCTTACTTTCTTTTGGATTTTTCATTTCCTCTTCCCTCTCTATTAGTTTGAAAATATACTGAATTCTCTGTTGTCAATCTTATAGCCGTCATGCTAGAAAGTAAAATAGGGCTGTTTAACTTATCAAAGTTCAAAATTAATATTTTCACCCTCTCACAACATGAAAACCTTACAACATCATAACTTCATTTCTAGCTTCCTGATTTTAATATTTTACAGTTTTTAATTTTTTAATTCCACAAAACATCACTCTTGCTTTTTCCTATATGTATTATATGTATTTACATTTGTTCATATTACTATATTCTGTGTTTTCCATTCTTACTTTAATCTTAGATTTTCCATGTGAGATCATTTTTTCCATTTTTCCTGGAGAACATCACTTAGAATCCCTTTTAGTGAAGGTCTTCTGGTGGCAAACTCTGTTTTTATATGTCTGAAAATATTATCGATTAGCCTTAACTTTTGAAAAATATATTTAGTAAGTATAGAATTCTTTCAGCATATGGGAAGCTCCATTTAAATTGAGTTGTGAAGGGTAGATAGGATTTTGGCAAATAGATAAGAATGAACAGAAACAATTGAAGTGCTTGCTCAATTTTACTTGCACAGCTTCCATAACTAACAATGGCAGTAGTAATAAAACATTAATAATGTTTATTATAAATGTTAAAATTGATTTAATTATTATTACATTATATTTATACTACTTATATGATAATTTATGCTATGGATCATATTAATTTTCAAATGTTTATTATTTACTCTAATAAATAGATATAAGACAGTCTTTATTATATGCACTTTGCTTGGTAATCAATCTGTTTCATCATATCAATTAATATTCACAATAGGTCTGCTGAGCATCATTATTCCCACTTCATAGGTAAGGAAATGAAGGCACGGAGAGTTTAATTGCCAAGGATCTGTAGCTAGTGACTGAGCAGGGATCTAAAGGTAGCTCTAGCTGACTCCCAAGCCTATGCTGTCTTCATTGCACTAGTAATTTACAGCCAGTTTTGTGAAGCCTGACTCTGCAGGGTTGATCAGGACCAGCAACAGGGGATTAGGCAGAGACCAAGTGGTTAAGCACCTGGTTTCCAGTCCACATTTCAGTATAGGTACCTCTAATTTTGTCTGTTTTATATATTTGGGTCTCATGGAGGTGATTCTTTGCTGTTTAAAAAAACAGTCTGAAACCACTGTATTGGGTGGAGCCCCATAGAGTACTTTGGCCTTTTACTACCTACAAAAACTATTTTTTTTGGTAAGTGATGTTCAATTTAATACCACATCATGTCTGTGTTATGGCTAGAAGAGGACTTAGAAGTCATTATCAGTTAGAAATACTGGTTGAGTTCCTGGTCACATGGTCCAGGAAAGCAGCCCGGCCTATACCAGGAGCTCGGTATGTGCTTGCTGAATTCAGCAGCTCCAGAATGACAACACAGAAAGAACTAAAGGGAAGTAGTCCAGCTGGAAGAGGTGCCTTACGGCTACATCTGCAAAGCACTTTACCTGAGATTGAGAAGATTTAATGAGAGAGCGGGGGCAATGCTGGTGGAGATAACTGAGTGGCTCTGACCTTCAGGCATAGTTAAACAGGAGGGAGGTTTGAGGGGCTGGGATATGCCCAGAGGGATCTGTTTTGGAACAGGAATGAGGCTGGCCTGGTTGGACAGCTGGAATGGGGATGGCTGGAGTACCTTCAGGAGAAGCTCTGTTCTGGTGGTCAGACAGTGGAAACTTCTAGTAATTGAGCCTGAAATTCAATTAGTGAAAAGGAGCTCCCTGGACCATGGTCAGGCTGTTCTTCCCTCAAGCCAAATGCTGAGCACCTGGAGAATATCTAGGAGTATCCCAAGTCACCAAGATGTGGGAAATCGGCCACAAGAGACAGCCCCAGGCCCATCCCATAAGTGAGGATGGGGCTGGTCAGGCAGCATCTACCAGGGAAAGTGGAGAGAGGCAGGGAAGTCGGCTTTATAATTTGGGAATTGATTGAATTGATTGGCAGAGTCTTGAGAAAAGTAAGGAAGAACAGGGCCAGCGAAATAGTTAGGAAGTAGGAGGGATAAAGGTTGAATGGGACTGGGAAACATGTTGCTCTGGTTATGGGGCAGATTTTAGGGTGCCACAGAGTAATCAGCCTGGACCCCTGTGGCCTGAGCTCCTGCAGCCCAAGAGAGGATACTTGCATTGCGGGGTCTCTAAGAACTTCTATCTGTGAATCCTTACAATAAAGTTATTACCAGACTCCCTGAGCACTCTAGAATGACACTAATAGATACAAATCTTTTGATTTTTTTTTTTTTTTTTTTAGTTCACCCAGAGTGTGAAAGTCAAGCTGTCAAATTATGAGTTCAGCCAAGCCTGTTTCCAAGTGTAAAGGTCTAACTCAAATCTGGCCTGTCTTAGTCTAGTTCCCTTGTTCCCTATTTAATATCAATCACCTACCTCCCCCCTGCCCCACCCTCACCCACTCTTCTCCAAGTGGGGCAGCAGTTGGCTCAGGAGCAGGGCTGGGGCCTTCACATTCACACCTAGGATCTGAAATCAGAACAAATGAGGAACAGAGGAGGAAAGACAAAGTTAGTTCAGTGTTCTCATTGTATTAGAATATGTACCACATTAGAATGTGGGTGTGATGGCCTCTAACAAGGGAAGTGGCAGAGTGTGGGCTTTCCTGGGCATGCACAGAAATGGGGGGCATCCCTAAGATTCAGGAATAAAGGCTGGGGACGCTTCAGGCAGAAGACCCCAGAGTCTGCATAATGTCTTACTGTGTCTCCTAGGCCATCACTTCCATCTGGAACAGAGGAAGCACCAGCTGAATCTGGGGAAGACTGGAAGTACCAGTATTGGGAATTAAGCATCCCTGGACAAGGAAGGAAGTCATTCTCTTCTTCAGGTCCCATATTTTTTGTGATTATTCGGTTTTATGTTAGGGACTTCCTACACATTTGGGAGCTCCTGAACATTGGGGATAGCAGACCAGAACTGCAATTTTGACATTCTTATCTTCATCTCACAGGTAGAGAAGTTGAGGCTTAGCAAGTTCAGGCACCTGGCCTCACTCTGTACCAATGAATTTGTGATAGTAGAGTGAATGTGTGGGAGGTAAGAACCATCTCTGGGTGTGTGAGCTGAGATGAAGAGAGCGTTACACAGAAGGTGAGCGTGGAGTCCAACCCATCCTTTACTGGCTTCCCTAGATCTCACCTTGTCCCAGACTTGCTCACTGGTCTCCAAGGTACTTCCTACGAAAGGATTGACCCCTGCCACACACACCAGGAAGTCCACACTCCCACAGTGCTCCAGGGCCTGTGGGTAAGAAGGGTCATAGAAGACCAGGTTCAGGGAGTGAAAGAAGATTCCTGATGCAGTGGGAGGTGTCCCCTGTTTGATGTCCCTGAGACTGTGCCTGCATAATTTCAGAGAACAGGAGGATACTGTGTGAGAATGAAGAATCATTTTTTCTCTTTTAGAAACCAAGCACTGAACTTCTGGACAAAAGGGGGTAGACTGTCCCCCCTTACTCTTTCTTTTCTTTTCTTTTC